AAGCAAAAAGAAAAAAGATTTTATTGTGTAATTTTGCGTGCGACGAAGAAATTTCTTTTGGGGCGTAGTATATGTCGAAATTGTTCAATTTGTTGTTCGTTCCTATCGCTTTCCAGTTATCATTAAGTTTTTTTTTTCCATTACTTTTAGATTTTTTTTCTATCGGAGGAGACTTTGTGTTTATAAAGTATGATGCTTATCGAACTTATTAAGTTTTCATATTGGCTTAACTGAGGCTTTATGAAGATATGGTGCAAATTCAAAATGTACTTTTTAGCCTGTTATATATATATATATATATATATATATATATATATATATATATGTGTGTGTGTGTGTGTGTGTGTGTGTGTGTGTGTAATTTGCGTGTGTTTAAGTGTGTGTATATATATATATTCATATATATAGCTACTTTAAATGAATTTATCGAGATATGGCGCAAGTGATGTATATTATATATATATATATATATATATATCAAGTATATAATTGGTGTATACGGAATGAATTCCAATAACCAAAAATTACTATTCTTAAAAGAGTGCTCAATACAAAGTAGAGCAGATATAATTATTATTTATAATAAAAAAATTATAACATAAATATGTTTATCTTCAACATCGAGTGTGTTGAAACAAAATGGCTATTTTTGTAGTGATTTCATAACATATTTATGTTATAATTTTTTTTATGAATAAAATTTATATATATATATATATATATATATATACACACACTCACACACGCAGATACACACACACGCACACACACACACATATATATATATATAGCTACTTAAATGAGGCTGAAAATGGAGATATCGTACGAGAGATGTACTGTCAGCCGTTTATATATATATATATATATATATATATATATATATATATATATATATATATATATATATATATATATATATATATATATTTAGCTAGATATATGGATATAAAATAAATTCAGATAGCTATATTTTATTTACTCATGTACATATACAGATACAAAACATCTATATTTATATGAATATATAATCGTTTTAGATATCTAAAAAATATTAAATAAATATCGCATGTACCTCCATTGATAATACTTGCAATTCAAAAAGACGTCTATTTAATCAATGAAAAAAAACAAAACACAAAAATAAAAAAATAGAATTTTCTTATATTCATTTTCATTTTATATTTCTTATTTAGCATAAAGGAATGACAGACGTGTTAAATTTATTTACGTTTCCTATTTGTTTCCTACGCTTTCATCTCTGTATGTATGTTTATATGTATGTATCTCTCTCTCTATCTATATATCTATCTATATATATATATATATATGTGTGTGTGTGTGTCAGTTATTAAAAACAAATGACATTTTGTGTCGATTAATCTATCGTCTTTTTTTCAAATTAGGATTAATCTTTCTAAGAAAAGGAGAAAATTGCGTCAGAAATTGTCCAGAGTTAATTTTGGAATAAATATGGTCCAAGCTTTCGACTTAATTACGTCATCAGAGTAGGTAAAGATAAATGGTGTATTTGGAAAGTGTTGCTGAGTGTAGTTACTTGGGCAAAGAATGTTGTGACGTAAGTGAGGAGCGACTTGTGTGTATTTTTGGCTATTTTGTTTATTTTTTAACATTTGCCTTAAAGAAAAGAACCTTTGCTAACTAAATCCAAACAAAATATATATATATATATATATATATATAATGTGTGCGATATGGGTTATCCAAAGTGGAAGAAAATGGCAGCTTGATCCGAGATTCAGTAATTCAGTTTGCTGTTTAATGAGTTGGTTATATAAATAACTGATTAAGCTTTCAGTAGAATTAGGCATATATATGTTTGTCTTTATAGAAATTCTCCAGTTTTTGTTAATAATTATTTTAACTGTGAGATTGGTTTATGATTTTTAACATTTCTATTTAACTAGCCACCATAAGAGTCATCCACAATTTTGAAAAGTTTCATTGACCCTATTTTCATGTTATTAATTGTAATTACTATGTTTATTTGTCTCTTAAGACTGTTAGCAGTATTTTTGTTCAGTTCCTTAAATTTATCTGTATTACTCAGGATGGAGCCATGCCTTTTGTTATCGTCAGTCCTATTTAAAATAACAAAATATATAAGACTCTACACTCTTCCTAATTATAATAGTTTTGTTTTCCTTTATGTTCTAGGTTTAAAAGTTGCCTTCCTCTGACAAAGCACAAATATTTTCAGTTATTTTTTTTTAACTAGGGCGATTCGCTCGAAGTTAGTCTGAGGAACATTAACTACTGAGAGATTACTCTAGCTTGTTTTTTATACCTGAACCACAGCCGTCTAACATTCCTTTGTCCCCTGTCAAGATGGCTATACATGAGGACGTTAGGTATTCTGCAATCACTCATCCTTGCAACATGATTAGCCCAGCGAAGTCGTGACTGCCTCAGGAAAGTCTCACTTCTACCAATGTTGCATTTTGCGAGATCAGCATTGGACACCCTATCGTCAAATATATAACCACATATCATGTGGAGAGTTTTGTGGAAGACCTCCAGCTGAATGATATGGAACCTATATGGGGTCCACGATTTTGAGCAGTACAACAGTGCTGCTCTATAAACACGTATTTTGTTGTCCTATTTGATAACTCTCAATTTTGCTATTTTTACCTCTCCGATTTTGGTGTCTAATTTGATACATCTCTCATTCCAGAAGCGGTAGTGAAGCTTCCCAAATGCACTTGAAGCTTCGGTAATCCGATTTGGTATTTCGTCATCAAGGGATGCATTTGCATTCATCTTACTTCCTAAATATGTAAATGACTTTACATATTTCTAGTTCTTCCCATCAATCTGTATACGTGCACCTTGGAATTGATGAACTGGTAGACATTGTCTCGCACTCTGAATCTTCTTTGAACAAAGAGTATTACTATTATGTATTACTAGCAGCATCGCCCGGTGTTGCCCGTGCTTGATTAAAAAATCCTACGACTCATACAGCAATCGCTATCATTTGACTTAAAATATTTTTACCCTTCCTTGCCTATAAATTAATGCCCTTTGGCGTTCTGATGTTGCTACATGCCTTACTTCTTGCCTATCTCACACTGCCAATTTTTTCTAAGCTCTATACTAAACATTAAATCTGTTACGAAAAAAGAACTAAACAAAATGAACACAAAACGATCAGCTTTAAAAAGGACTCGTAACTAGAAAAACCGAATGAAAAAAAAAGAATGTTAACAAAAATACTTTTTTCACACCCAACCCAGTTCTGCGGAATCAGAATCAACGTTGAGTTTAAGCAAGCGAATGAGCCAATTGGAGTAAAGTGCCATGCAGATTTAAATTTTTCCCACTTCAGACGAATGCAGCTATCGATTTTTTTTTTGCTAGTTAACATTCGTGTCAGTCAGCTGTTGGCTCTCACGCTGGCCAATAGAATCTTTCTGTCTATTCGTGGCAGCCAGCTATTGACTCTTACACTGGCCAGTACAAAATGGCCGCAAACTTCATGAAAACTGCTCTAGAAGCATAAAAAAATCGATTATTTACACTATCGACGGGAGTTGGGAAATGCAACGTCAGTCTTGGACTTCCCGCTAACTTGGAACATGTGCATGTAAATTTTATTCGTTACACACACACATCCTGCCTTTTATAGATAGAGATTAAATTATGCCTTGATTAATTTGCTTTTAATTCAAAGTCGCGCTATTTTGTTGTATTAATTTGTGTCATAGACAATTTCGGATTTGGGAACCAATTTTAATGCCAAATGTATCATCCTCTTGTAATATATCATACCAGGCGATGAAAATAGGTTATATACAACAACGACCGATGCAAAATGAAGTGGGTTGACAGGAATAAAACTGATCCTAAAAGATTAGAGGAAGGTAATTATGTGTGGGGTCGTCGATTTATTTTTTTAGTTACATTTCTTAAAGCGCAATGAAAGCCTAATTGCACATTTATACGTCCATCAGCTGCAACATGTCCATAAATTTTTCGCTGAAAAAAATGTTGTTCTCATCCACGCAAAGCGGCACACCACAAGAATAACGCAAGAAAACATCTTGGAATTCGGTTGATCTATTCTAGATAATCCCTCATAATCACCACTACAGGTACCAACCGATTATTCACTTTTTTCGATCGCTGCGAAAAAGTTCGTCGAAAACCTCTTCACGTCAAAATAACAGCGAAAATATAATTGAAGAAAATGTATTTGTACTTTATATTTTAAAGCTTACAAACAAAAACAGAAAATGTATATGATCGAAATTAATATGGGCGGATCAATATGTCTGAATCGTCTCTCAAATTTCTGTATTACGTCTGTTTTTTTCCTTTTTATTTATTTTTCACGTTCTGAAATTTGTCTAAGAATTCTAGGTCGTTTTTTTTTCGTAATCAATCTAATAAATTCTTCTTCTTCTTCTTCTTCTACTACTACTACTACTACTGCGTCTACTAATAATAATGCAACCTCAATTGTTTAATCAAAATTAATTCTTCTCTTTATTCTTTTTCTTCTTACGTTTTCAACCCTCACCGTTTCTTTATTCACTTTATTTTTTCATCTTCAGATTTCTTCTTCTTCTTTTCTTCTTCTTCTTCAAAAATTCTTCTTCTTCTTCTTCTTCTTCTTCTTCTTCTTCTTCTTCTTCTTCTTCTTCTTCAGTCCTTCTTCTTCTTCTTCTTCTTCTTCTTCTTCTTCACCAATCTTCTTCTTTCTTCTTCTTCTTCTTCTTCTTCTTCTTCTTCTTCTTCTTTTCAAAACTTCTTCTTCTTCTTCTTCTTCTTCTTCTTCTTCTTCTTCTTCTTCTTCTTCTTCTTCTTCTTCTTCTTTCTTCTTCTTCTTCTTCTTTGGACTTCTTCTTCTTCTTCTTTTCTTCTTCTTCTGCTTCTTCTTCTTCTTCTTCTTCTTCAGGATCTTCTTCTTTTCTTCTTCTTCTTCTTCTTCTTCTTCTTCTTCTTCTTTTTCATAACTTTTTCAAATGAATTTTAAAATGCATTTTACTTCTTTCTTTGTCATTCTTTTTTTTCCCTTCTTCTTCTTCTTCTTCTTCTTCTTCTAGTACTACTACTACTGTTCTCCTCACCTTCTTTTTTCACTCTTCTTCTCTTCTTCTTTTTCTTGTTCCGTTTTCAACCTCCCAGTTTCTTTATTCACTTCTTCTTCTTCTTCTTCTTCTTCTTCTTCTACATTGTCCGTTTACTTTCTCATTTATCCTTCTGCTTCCGTTTTCTTCCTCTTCTTTTATCAATATTTTTCTCTTCTTCTTCTTTACCTTCTTTTACTTCTTATTCTAACATACTTCTTCTTCCGTTTCCTTCTGTCTCTTTTACCCTCTATCCACCTTCTTCTTCTTCTTCTTCTTCTTCTATAAAGCAAACATTCTACATTCATTTTATCCTCACTTTTCCGACTCATCTTTTCCTTCCTACTCTCCCCTCTTTCTCTTTCTCTCACTTTTCAAGTTGTATTTTTTCTATTCCGTTTTCACACTCTCCATTTGCTTATTTTAATCTTCCTTTTTTATTTGCTCAGTTCAGTTTGGCACAAGAACACCTTAGTGAATCACACACTTATGATAGGTAAACATGTCTAGCTTGCTGACCATCAAGCCACGACTGGCAAACCTCTTTTCCCTCTGCTTGCATCTGCCTTGTCATTTCTTTCTTCATATCTGTCGCCACGTTTTAGACAAATTTCATTATCTTTCTTCGACTTAATATTTATTTCCCCTGACATTATGACGCATAGTATTTTCTTCTTACTTTATATTTTTTTCAGTTTTATCTTCCTATGAGCTGCTGTCTACAACCCTTAAGAAAAAAAAGGATCTTTTTTGATAAAAAAAAACCTTGTAAAAACTGCTCTTCATTATTCATCACAGAACCATCCCTGCCCCTCATTAGAATGTCTGACGCTCAACTTCTCGAGAGAAACTCTTTGCGACTAATCGGCCTCACATTGACTGCTGACCTGAGATGGAACAAATACATTGAGTCAATAGCTTCGTCCACCGCAAGGAAAATTGGCTCCTCGTGCCGCGCCAGGAAATTTTTCTCGCCAGAGTCGATCCTTCAGATCTACAAATCAATCATTCGCCCTTGCATGGAGTATTGCTGCCATATATGGTCCGGTACCCATTCTGTTTGTCTCAAGGTTCAAGACTCAGAAACGGATATGCAATGTAATTGGCCCTGATCTGGCATCTGGTCTGCAGTCGCTCTCTCACAGATGTGCCGTCGCCTCCCTCTGTCTTTTTTTTTTTAGAAATACTTTCATTGTAACTGCTCCGATGAGCTTCTTTCGCTGATTCCCAGATTCATGAATTTAAGCGTTCTACTAGGCTGGCATATCGCACACACCCTTTCACTGTCGAATCTGTTAAATGTAGCCGTCTCTTCTACTCCAATATCATCATGCCTCGCACCTCTCGCCTGTGGAACTCAGTTCCCTCTTTGTTGAGATGTTGTGAGCTTCCCGCGTGTCAGTGTATGAATCAAGACAAACTCAGTTGTAGAGGAAAATACTGGTATATTCATAAAAACAATTAACAATAGAGTGATTAGTAGAACGAAGGTTGGTTAGTACGAAACAATATCCAAAGTCTATAGTCCAACGGTATGTAACGGGTAACCTTATCTGGACTGCTGACGCTCTGTCTCTCGTCCTCTCTCTAGAGCTGACTTATATAAGAGGGACCAATCCATTTCTAGTTAGAAGGTGGGTGCGCCCCAACACTCTTCCTGTTTCCCTGATAGCTATAATCTCCAACTATTTAAATGCAATGTCAATCGACGTCTCCAGATGCCATGATCTATCCCCCTATCCTTCTCTTCATCCTTTCATCTATCACACCTATTTGATATCGTTTAAACTCTCTGTAACCTCTTTTGTGTTAGGGGCTTCCCGCCTTGCTTGGGGTGAAACGCTTAAAAAAAATAAGTTTCGGCAACATCTGCTTTAAAATATTGTCATTTTGATTCCTTCGGCATCACTGCTTCTGCCATTGTCGAAAATGTTTGGTCTTGAGTTTGAATTCTTCTTTCATTTCTTTTGTCTTGTTTTCTTTCAGTCGATTATTCTTTTTGTTTCTCCTTCGAAACAAATATTCATTCTTCCAGAAGAAGACGGAGTAAGAGAAGGGGATAAAGAGGAGGAGGAGGAGGAGCGGAGGTGAAGGAAGAGGAAGAAGAGGAGATGGAGAGCAAGAAAAAGGTGTAGGATCAAGTGGGGAAAGTAAACAAGAAGAAGATGTAGAAGGAGAAGAAGTATGTGAAGAAGCAGAAGGAAAGAAGAAGGCAGAGGAAGAGGAGGAGGTTAAAAGGAGAAAATAAAGAAGAAGGCAGAGGAAAATGAAGTGGGAGAGAACAAGAGAAAGGAGGCGGCGGATGGAGTGAGACTAATGAAGGAGGAAGAGCTGTGGTTGAAGTAGCAGTAGTACTTCTTCTTTTTCTTGTACTACTACTACTGCTCCCAGACAGTTTTGCTGCTACTTTATGCTTTCACTACTACTACTACCAGTAGTAGTAGTAGTAGTAGGAGAAAAAAAAGCTAGAGAAGAGGAGAAAATTGAGAAAAAGGAAAGTATGAAGACGAGTTATGCATAATTCCGAGGAGAAGAAGAAAAAGAAATCTGAAAGAGAGAGGAAGAGAAGATGAAGAGGAAGTCAATGGAACATAATAATAATAATAATAATAATAATAATAATAAGAAGAAGAAGAAGAAGAAGAAGAAGAAATCGGGGAGAGAGAAAGAGGTGATGAAGAATTCAGTGGAATAGAAGAAGAAGAAGAAGAAGAAGAAGAAGAAGAAGAAGAAGAAGAAGAAGAAGAAGAAGAAGAAAGCGGAGAGGGCTTGAGCTAAAGAAGATGGTGGTTGAAAGGAAGGGAGTGAGGAAGATGGCAAAGAGGCACGTGTAAAAGGAAGAAGAGGAAGAAGAGGAGGAGGAGAATTAAAAAAAAATGATGGTAGAGAAAAGAATACGTGATGTAAAATAAGGGGAAAGAGGAGAAGATGAAGAAGAAGAAGAAAAAATAAAGATGACAAAGGAAAAAGTGAAAAAAAAGGAGATAAAAAATGGGAGGATGAAGAGAAGCAGATGACAGAGAAGGGGAAATAGGCGGATGTAAAGGAGAACAAAAAAAAAGTGGTGGAAATCCTTCCTACGTTAGTCACCACACTTGGGCGATCACATCTCTCTTCGATTCATGATTGACTTGGCAGAACAATTCCCGCAGTAGGCTGCCGTCTCTTTCGTAGACTGGTTTCCAGCTAAGGCTATAGGGCGCAGTCTGTCAGGCTATTTAATCCATAGCTGGAAGGAAAGAAGTTATGAATTTATATCTTTATCAATGTTATTTGCAAGTAAGTAAATCTAAGGAACTCGACTGGAATTTGAACTCGGTACTCCGTTTTCTCACATCAAGCCGCTGTCCATCACACACAGTTCAAAATCTAAACATATCACTAGGTATTCCCAAGCGCTTACCCGTCTAGCTCCATCATCTCTTAAAAAACAAGGTACCTCCAACATGTGTCCCGTGCCAAGAATCTTATACAGTCAAACACATCTTACTAAATTGCCATAATCTCCGACGAATCCGTAGTAAACACTACAAATCGGGTAACCTAAAGGATTATACTAACCCAAGAAACATCATAAATTTCACTAAAGAAATTGGGATCTACAGAAATATCCAAAAAAAAAATCACAAAGCATTTTTGAAAAACAAAATTACCAGCTATATATTGAAAAATAAATTATATTACCAGCTATCAATTTTTTTAAAAAAAGGAAAATATTACCAACGATACATAATTGAAGAATTATTACCAGAAATAGAATTTTTGAAGGAAAAATATTACCAGAAATAGATTAAAAAAAAAAAAATTACCAACAATAAATTTTGTCGGCATTAAATGACCCATTGAGGTTTATATGCTGTAAAATCAAACCAAACCAAACCAAACCAATCTAGCTACTGACCAAGCTGAACGTTGCTTTCCTTGATAAAGAAGTAGAAAAAGAAGAAGTAAAAAGAGTTTGACGAGGAAATGGTAGATATTAAAAAAAAGTGAATAAGTTTATTGTACTTCTAATGTGATGATACTATAATATGAGGTCTGTAACAAGCCATAAACTCTCCCAGCACACAAAAATTTAGGAATTTCTGCAAGTCACGGGGTTAATTCCTATCATATCCATCATCAAAAATAAGGTTCTGAAACGTCATTGGCAACAAGAAACGAACAGAATATGACCTAATCAAAAAAAGAAAAAAATCCAAAGGGTTGGAGGTAAATGTAATCCAAGTGGTAGAGGCTAACGGCCTTCTTTAAAACTATTTCTAAAATAATTTGCACATTTGAACAAACCTTGATGAAAAAATCATTGAACACATTTTTCACACAAAATCGCCACTGTTAAGATTTTGAGATATCTCATGCTATCACGCAATGTGGCACTGGCCTAGAAAGCGAGCAATCATGATCTCTAGCGAAATAAGGTTTATTCCAGAAGACACATTGGGAATTCAAAATCTAGAAATATCAACTTTTTTTTCTATTATTCAAGAATACTTTTACAGAGAATGAAAATTTCATCACTATCACGAGTCCGGGAAAACATTACGGTCGTATCGTCGCCACGTGAATTGTAGCCGTAGTAGCAGTGAAGTTTCCTGGGAAAGATAGCATGACGAAGCCCAAACCTCTCCTTCGGATTCAGTTTTTCCTTTTTCTAGACTAGCCGCCAACTAAAGCTATAGATCCTAGTCTGTTCAGTTATTTATCCATAGATGGGAAATGGATGCATATAAAAAAAAGGGTAACAGCACGTGAATATAGTAATGAACTAGACTCGAATTCGAACTAAGATCTCCGATTCCCCAATCTAAGCTCTTATCCATTATCCACCTTCTTTAATCTAATGCAGAATATAAACACAGACACTAGAAAATATATTCCCACTAGACGAGTTACCCGCCCCTTACTGCGTCTCTTACATTGTTTTGCAAGAAAAAGCAGCAACTCAGCAATTAAACCCTTTTTTTTAGAAGTAGTCTAAAAATGAACAACGACACGGAAGGTAAAATCAAAAGAACCGAGTTCGAATTCCAGTCGGGCTTCATCGATTCACTTACGTTTAAATTAACCTTGAGAAAGGCATGGATTTGTCTCTTCTTACTCAGCTATGGAGGACAGACTGGACTCTTTAGCCGGGGCTGGTGACAAGTCTAGTAAAAGGAAAACACTTAATTCAGTTCAATGTGTTATTCGGGCTAGCAAGTATATCCGCTAAAAAAAAAAAAACATTACTTACCATAAAAATACACATCAAAAAAGCTTTGCTGAGAGCTATGGCTCGATACTCCTGAAGGAGGCAGTCGGTTTATTCTAAGACCCACTGACATGGCAATTTTTAAAAATAGGGATTTGAATTCAAAACACGTTAAGCCGGGAACAATATACAGAAAATAGAAGTCATTTATTTATTATAGACATCATGCTTAACCGGAATCCAGTCACGCGCTCTATCTGTTACTGTCCGCTCTGCAGGTCGAGGACAAAGTAACAAGCGAAGGAATTGTTGGTCACTCTGTCTGGCCAGGCGGATTATATTTGCCAGTGTGTCGGACGAAGGACGGACAGTCGCTTGAATGGACAATACAAAAACGCCGACGATGAAGAAAGATGCGGGGCTTGATATGATTTGTTAGT